GAGGGGGAAAAAGAAAGAAAGCAAATCCGTCCGAACGACCCAGGTTCTGGCACCTATATAAAGGGCAATACAACATCTTTTTGTTAAGGCCTTATCTTATTTCCCTTATCATTAGTAAGTTCACCAACTCCAATTTTAAGCACATCCAGTGATAATGTTATGTCCTCAAACCATTTCAATGGTTTCACATTATTTCACATGCATGACTTTAAAAAAAAAAATTGTTTTTTGTTTTTATCTTTCTTTTTTCTTCATGTTTGTATTTAGATTGTTCATGAGGTATTCTCCACTTTTCATGTATGCTTGCCATATTGTATAATATTGTGTTGATGTTTAGCATAGGCTAGGTTTAGATCATTCCTATTTATCGTTATACTTTAATATTGTTGTTTTGTTGTATTCTGTATTCTTTGTATTACTAAGCTATGTTTGTATTCTTTATTATGTATCATTATCATGACATGTACATGTGTTGTACTCTCATACCCCAGAAGGGGGTCGAATGAGTCAATAAATTCTATTCTAATTCTATTCTAATGACTTTGTATTAAGCGTGAACAGAATTTACCTTAGTTTCTTTTCTCAATAATTCCTCATTTTGTGGTTTTGCTTAATAAAGTCCGATATAGAGACTTCAGAATATACCAGATGCATGAGTAGAAAGGGCAAGTGCATGCATACACACTTACAATCTTTAAATTGGCAACATATTGAGTGATTCAAAATCATTATTTCCGATCAAAATTTGCCATTTTCCCCCTTCAACTTTTCGCTAACATTCTAACCCATGTGTAATGTTTTCAGAGACATTACATTTTATTTCAACATTGTATCCATTAAAGAGATATCATTGTCGCTAATTTGAAGAACAATATGTGATCAATTTTAGACTTAAAAATAAATCATTCAGCTCATGCAAGATTGCAACTCTATGATAAAGCCAGGGAAGTGACGGATGAAATAAGTTAGATGAGGGTTAATATGAAGAGAGAGTAATACACAAAGACTGCCACGATGCGTGTAGATGTTCAACTTATGTGATGTTACCGCTTGCAAACTTTCTCGCAACTTTTCATCTCGGCGAAATAACAAAAGGAAACAGAGCGGTATATACATATAACATTTTTATTATTAGCGGGTAGTACACTCTATCTGCACTCTAGCTCTGTCACTATGTATACTCTTAATTCCAGTTCAGATCCGGGGAGGAGCGGACACCAGGGTAGTGGGTGAAAAAAAAAGAAACAAAAATGAAACCATGAAAAAAGTACGGAACTGTAATTTGCCTTGATCTATTTTGATCTACATCACCCATCTCCCGCAGCCATTGAGACATTGAGAATTCGGCTAGGTATGAGAGGAGTGTAGATGAAGAGAGCGGATGAAGTTCGAGAGAGATGGAGAGAGAAAGGAGAAGGGGAAACATAAAGAGAGCGAAACAGCGGAAAATTTCGGCGCACTATATATTTTCGTCATTACAGTTAGTTTTTACATATCTGGCGACATTGCCGGGTCTCAATTAGGAACTGCCTGCTTTTTTCCCTCATTTCTCTCTCACTCACTCACTCTCGTTCAGTTTGGGGAGTGCTTGAAAGCGAAGGCAGCCAGCTTTATTTAACTCCGCCAATATAGGAGAGATTAGATCTAATTGCGCGGGCTTTTTCTCGTCTGCGCTTCACCACTAGGATCTCCCGCCAAAAAAAAGGAAGAAAAAATCAAAGCGGTGAAGCTTTATTCTTTCCCCTTCTCCCTCTTTCTATTCCCCCCATCTCCGTTCCTGCTCCCTTTCCTATCCTTCCTTGAAAATAGATTTGTGGAAATGGCAAAACCTATGCCTGGGGCGTCTGAAAATTGAAAGCTTACAACTCGAAACATTTCTGCATTTCTAACGCCCATCACTTCACTTTGTTTTTTCTGGTCGACCGTGTATGGGGGAGCTTCAATAATTGCATCAGAATTGAGATGCGCGCAAGGGCTTAAAATTCAAAAACAATTATATCTCCTCTCGTTTATCTGTCTATCGCTTCCTCCCTTTGATTCTCTCTGTATCTCTCATTCCGGTGCTTTTCTTCCTTCCTAACTGTATGCTTGCTACTCAAGATGAGGGGATGAGCTAGATGATCTTTTGGCCAACTGAAAAAAGTGCGTTGTCTAAACTGATATCAAATGTGAGTGCAAATTGCAATTTTTGTTAGGAAGCTTACTCGGTGTATACGAGAGTGACAGTGATAAAGGCAGAGGGGGAAATAGAGAGAGAGAGAGAAAGAGAGGGAGAGGGAGAAACGGAGAGAATAAACAAGGGGAGAAAAGTTGAGAGTGTATAGGAGAAAGCAGAGAGAGAGAAAAGAGAAAAAGAGAAAGGGAAATATGACAGCAAAGAGGAAAAGGCATGGGCAGACTTCAGAAGCGCTTTTATAACATGGGCTTCAATTAAGGGCTTAGTAAGGCGTTTTCGAGCTTTAGGCCGGCTTTCATTAGCTCCGCCAATTTTCAATAATGGCGGTTATTATCAAACTTGTTAATAATACCCCAGCATTAATGGAATATTGCATTAGGGTTCAGGTAAACCTCGCACTTTTTCTCACAGTTCAACCATCATCAGAAAGTTTGTATTCGAATGACCTACTTTTCTTGCTACTAAACTTTAAAGTTCACTGACAAACATGGCACATATCACAAACAATACGTCATTCTAAAATGAGCTTACATTTTATTTTTTGGAGATTTTGCAGTTTCGTAATATTTTAGAGCAGGGAATAGAAGAATGAGAGATAAAGGAGAGAAATTTATAAACAGGCGGATATGATGAGGGGGAGAGAGAGTGAGATTGGGAGAGAGGAGAGAGAGGAGAGAAAGAGCGAGGAGAAAGAGAGAGAGAGGGGGGGAGAAAGATATATATATATATAATTATAGAGAGAGAGAGAGAGAGAGAGAGAGAGAGGGGGGGGGGGGGGGAGGAGAGAGAGAGAGAGAGAAAGAGAGGGGGAAGAGAGAAAATACGGGTTAAGTATAAACAAAAATAGAGAGGGGGAAAGAATTGTATAGAAATACGTATCGGGAAAAAAAATCAACTTTGTTCCACTTTCCCTTCCACCTGTTAGGACTAATGTCGTATGAAAAAAAATGAAAACGATTCAAAGAGTCTGTGTTTAATATGCCTGATATTTTCTGGAAAATATTTCTCTGACTCAGTGTTTCCTTATTTTTCATCTTTTCCTTATCTTTTAATAAGATAAGGTGTACGCGAGATCCAACATAACACAATCAACCATTCACCCAATTAATAATTCATTCAATCAATTAATCAATTATTCAATCAATCATTCAATCAATTAAACAACAGCTATTCACGCTTCATTGAACCATCATCAACCATCGAGCATTACCTCACAATCAACATTTACATTATTAATAGCGTACTCATACTAATTAAAATACAGGACATATACACGTTTCCTATTTAGATTTTCCTCACTCTTTTAATAAATAATAAACCATCATTAATCACTTAATACATAATACAATATATATAAATTGCACATCATCGGGAGCCTCGCTTCTGGACTGGCAAGTCAAAACTTCATTAGTTATGTACAGATGGTCAAACCAATATACGGTGGGGGTAGACGTTAATTCACCAAACATATATTATTCAAATGTTTAAACAAAAACTATTTTGCGCATCAGGATGCGAATAGAATGCGGGAGAACGATGCCTATGAAATATGTGAATGAAAGAAAGTACCAAATCACAATAAGACGAACATTTTTTGTTACGCTCCAGAGTGATTAAAGTGTAAAAGAATGATACAATAATACAATAACACAGTGTAAGATCTAGGTCAAGTATCTTAGAAGAAAGAAGATACTGGATTTATCATGTGTAGGAATTTGTTGCGTTTAAAATCATAAAAAATGATACACAGATAATCAGAGACAACGTCGATCAGAATCGTTTAACGTAGCATCGTAATGAACACATGTCGACGCATGAACCAACATGTAAAATGAAAGTTTGTAAATTGTTGGGAAAATCCAATGATTTTAAAAATATATAAGAAACAAGCAATACAAAACAAAAACGGAGGTAAATGGCATTAAGATATAAAGATGTAACGTATGAAGTATCGTGTTATGGATTACTATGTAAGTAATCTAGAAATTATATTGAGATGAACCCACATTTAAAGCTTGTATTTTGATTTCACATTCACGAACCATCAGTGTCAATTTGCTTTTCCTTCCTCACGTTATCTGAACATATGCCAACATTCATCCAACATTTATATAATTAAACGAAAAGGAAAGTAGACCGTCCCGGCAAGCTAACGTGTTAAGATGTCATTATCCAGCAAGCGTGAACGTAATGACAGAAATGGCCATTATGCATCAACCAAATCGTGATAATACGTGTACTTCACAAGGAAACTATACCTCAAACCTCTGGCTTAAACGTGTATTTCTATTTTAAATAAAATAATCGTAGTTGGGCGTAGAATACGAAACCTCGGAGCAACTTAAACTTTGATGATAAATTAAATCTTCCACAAGCTTCATTTATAAAAAAAAAAAAAAAAAAAAACACAACCAGTATCCATTTCCACCGATTTATTTTCATCTTATCTGTACATTCATCTTCATAAAAGTTATGTGCACATTTCAAAACCGGCCATTGGTATGGGCACTGTTTTTCTCAATAAACATTTCAACTGTAAATCCATTTATATACATACATGAAGTCAGTAATGATGAATTGATCTAATCCATCAATAACACCCGTACAGGGAAAAACAACAAGCATACTCTTTCTCCCTTTTTTTTTCTTCTTCAAAAGGTAAATCTCGAGTATGTGGACTATACATATACATTACGACATAGCTCAGAGAACTTGAAAACTACGGGCAGTGTTTTGAAGTTAAAAGCAAATGAAAAATTCAGAAACCATAAGCAGTTACTTCTCAAGGTTGGTCTTTGAGAATTAGATTTGGAGGAAACATTGAATAGCATCATTATATATTTATTTTGATCTCTTGACTGTAGTTATTCTTCTCTCATACTGATACGAAGATCATTATTTTATCGCATCATTTCTTTTAAATAACAACCACACTTTTTGAAGTTTGTGACGATTATTGAGCCTCAGACATAATTGTATTCTACTTAATAATTTACATGGACGCATTGTGAATGTGATGATTGTTTACTCTCAGTATTATACCCCTTTACTACGGGAGACGGAAACCATCCCAAGCGAAGGATATGATTCAGCGTAGCGGCTGGTAAAATAAACCTGACCACCATATCCCTTTTAGGAACAATTCTATATATTTTACATAGTGATTAAATAGACAAATTTGCAGTAATGAATGACAAAGGGCGCATCGAATGTAGTATTTTGTTCTGAATTCCAGTTGTTTATATTTTGTTTTCTCTTTGTATTAAGTAAGATAATCCATATGCTGCCAAATTTAGATATTGTCATAACAGTTTGGAACCGACATCAAAACTTTGAGCAATGATTGTGTAGAAGGAGTAGGTATTGAGCAGTGTCAGACCGTGTTTTTTCACCGCGTCTCTATTTTTGTTCGTAACACAAACATGACACACCCACATAATGTATATCACACACCGATCTGGATGAGTATACCAGTGTTACGAGCTGGCATCCATATCTCTGTGATTCTACCGAGTGATGAAATATGGCCATGACATGAAAACAAGCTCACCCATTAAGCGGCAACATAATTTACGAGGTTTTTGCGGCGAGAATTTATGCCCCATTTTTACCGCCTTTTTTGTGTGAGGGAAGTTCTTTCAGCACATTTTGTGAATGCGCCTGTGAATAAAATCGTCCCCTTGGGCTCCTTGAATGCTCCATGTTTCATGCGATTCCCGCCATATTAAGCAATCTGACAATAACAATATTTTAGCTTGATTTATCCCCTCACCTAAGAGGAGTAAATTGCCTGAGTGGCAACGGGAGGAGAAACATAAAGTGAATATGGACTCTGTCCCATCATGTGATACTCATGTGTAATGGGTATGATAAGCAATAATATCATTTTCTTGTGAAGAGTGGTATAAATATTTATACAGTCAGGAAGGATACTTATATTTCGAAATTACCCTTCCTTTCTGAATACGCTCATACCCTGTCCAAATGTACTCTAAGAAGAGGGAAAATGTTTCAAATAAAACGTTATATTTTTAAAAAGTGTGTTCAAAGAGTTGTATTCTAGAGACGAATCTGTTTTAAACCTAAACCGAAGATGTTTATGAGAATGTTAGATTATTCTAATTCATTTTTACCTGTCAATGCTAAGCAGAAATGAGCCATGTAACATAATTCACACAATCAATGTCGCACCAATTCAGCAGAAATGCATTTCTTTTGAGTCCTTTCTCAGCTGAAGGGTGAATTGGACGACATTCTATTTCTTTCTAATCTGATATCATACATAGTCACTGCAGAATGTAATAAATAACGATAAGAAATTTGTACAGCCTCTTTTTGCCAAAGCATACGTTGAAACGCATGTGACGGATGAAATTAAATTTGTATTTTTTTCGCGGTAAGAAAATCATCTGAAGATTCCGTTGAGGGAGGCGGCGTGCTCGAGAGCTTTCCTACGTAACGATGCTATGCTTGTACCCCTCCACATATCACCAGCGTCAGAAACACTGCATGAGAGATCGGTCGAGCCGTCGGTCACGGGGAGATTGGGCGGGGACGGACTGGACAAGCCGCTGGACATGCTTCCCGTGGTCATTCCTTGCAGCGAAGGTTGATACATCGACGTCATCGACCCCATGGACCCGTTGGCCCCCATCGAGAGCGTGTTGAGACCAGTGGTCTGACCCATGGAACAGTTGACGCTCTGCTGCTGCATGCTCTGTCCTAAACCTTGGCGCGGTAAGGACGGGGGCAGAGCCAGCGACGTCCCTGGTCCTCCACCCATCTGGGACATTTGATGCGAGGGCATATGCGTGGTCATATGCGGTGCCATGTGCGTGGTCATACCCGACATCGCCGGCCAGCCCCGTGTGTCCTGGCCGTGGAAATTGCAAAAGGAGTCGTTCATCGGTGAGGGAAACTGGGCGAGTCCGTGATGAGATGGTAGGAGAGCCCCTGGGGTACGGAACACGTTCGTGGTCTTCTTGCGCTTCTTCCACTTGGCTCTGCGGTTCTGAAACCAGACCTGTAGGGTGGAGAGAAAGGAGAGAAAAAGAAAGAGAGAGAGAGGGATATGTTAGATTGATCACTAGCTCGAACAACGATTTTAAAGTCCTTTAATTATTATACACGCAAGCAAACAGTGGATTATAGAATGTTTGACAACGTTCGCCATCATAAGAAATTACTATATAATAACACCAACGTTTCTTTTAATTATTAGTCTTAATAACAAATTATCTCGAGATATATGTATCATGTATGTATGTTTCGTGGATTTTCATAACATTCCTAATGCCAGGTCAAATGAATTAATAAAATCTCATCTGATAACGAAAAAAAAGTGAAATTAAGGGGAATTTAATGAAATTATAAAGAAAACAAATCATTTGAATCGGTGAATGCCTGACGAGCAATTTTTAAAATCTTCAATGATTTTGTTATGGTTCAATTAGACTGATATAACCACAACATACACATAGAGATGGGGGATGCACAAAATGTCAACATAACGTCATCATGTTCATGGAAGACTCGAACTTCGAGAAAGCCGAACACGGATTTACTGAGATAATTTGCTACATTTTAATTTGATGAAGATGCTTTTAAATTTCTAATATTTCAGTCATTGAAGCAACCGGGAGATTGTTTCTGTTGTATATGAGCAAGTGCTCTAAAAGAATAAGATTGTAATACACAGGTTAAATAAACTTGTTAATAAGAACATTTGGGTAAGAATCGGGGTATTAAAGAATACTCAATAAAGCACTGGACAAACTTCACAACAACCCTGACATCTTCTGCTATGTACTTTGCGCGTATAGGCCAGTACATAGCAGAATGTAAAATGTATGGGAAGATTTTCATTTTAAAGTGACTCGGTAACATTGCCTCAGATTCTATAACAAAATTTTGGATTCAGCTCATGCTGCAATCATAGTTATAAACCTTTAGGTCAGTCATGGGTAAGTCACGAATCCCATGACTTTTACAAGCCGGTCGCCTGTCTGATTATCAAGATAGTTATCATTAGAAATCAAAATTTTGTTTTTCGTTTTCCTAACGGTGTTTATAACACTACAGTCTATTGGGGAAAATGAGTATGGTAAAACTGGTCACTCAAAGATTTTTTACTTTTGGGAGGCACTTAATGATCATTTTGAAGCGCAATTATTACACCATATCACAGACACTGATCACACGTCACAGGGCCATGCATCTCAGATTTAACATTGTTAAACAATGCCTTTAATGAGTGTGATTTCCGACCTTGGTCACATACTAACATGATGAACTCTACTTCTATAGTCAGATGGCAATATAAGAAACACAATTCCCTTCTCCATAGCATAAGGTGCAAATGGTGTCCTTACTCATGTTCAGTTTGGATTTCTACATTCGCTCTAAATTTACTAGAATCCGTGCATAATCGCGCTTTTCCCTACTCCTACCTGGAAGGCTTAAGCTGAGATTTATAGACCCTCGTTCTCTCAACACTTCCCTGCACGGTTAAATGATCGCACTTTGTCGGATGCAAATAAGAAGCTGACAAGCACATTTACGAAATAAATTGGGCCAGGGGAGAAGCGCGCTAATGCATTGTTTACATCTTAATGCTACTTGTATTTGTGTCTCCAAGACGTGTGCGATATAAACTATCGCGTGTGCTATAGGGGTATCCATTTCGGGCGGTCGTGTGCTTGCCATACTGTTCCGGTCAGAATTGATATAATGGGGAGATATTCATTTCCTGACCTGAACATGGGAGTTATGATTTTATATTAGATATAGAACGACGATGACGTCCAATCTTACACCAAATCTCTTTATATTATTTGCTCACCAACATTATTTTAGACTAGTCAATTTATTTATCAGTTGACGTACGTTCCCTCTTTTTCGTGTCATTATTTTCCTGATAATCGTATGCATGTTCCAGCAACACTCACTTCGCGCTGGCCAGTTTCCTAAACTATAGTTGCACTTCTATGACTCTGGGTAAGCCATAACTATAGGCCTACCTAACCCTAAAACTAACCTAAACATAAAGTAGCGACTTCAATCCTGATGCTATATTTTCGACAGATCGAAGCCCGGAGAAAATGTTGCTCGTACAAAATTAGGGTTGATCATCACGAAATCAAAATATTAAAAGTGGCTTTTAAAACGGATTTAATGAAAAAAGCGAAAGTGGTAAAGCAATTCTGCATGTCCTCAAAAGAATGGAATGAAATTAAATTTAGGAAGTATCCGGTTTGTGAGCAAATTAAAATGCCATTACCCTGGGCATATATCATAGATGATTTGAAATAGACTGACTCTTCTTTCTAATTTGATTATTGCATCGTCTTGAAGATCCTCGCCATTGCGATTCGTATTACTTTGGTTATCATGGTGATTGTAACATTTGAAAAAGAAAATATAAAGTTACCTCTTAGTCATAAAATATAAACAATGTTATTTTGGAAATGAAGTGATCGGTGAAAAATAAATATTTTCGACAATTTGATTTTAAATCACCAGTTATCCCGTTGCAATGGTATTTATATTTAAAAAACAAGGAATAATCAATAAAGAACAACGACAACAAGAAATAGGATATCAGATAAAATATTAGACTCGTAAAAATCTAGTGATGGTGTGCGTGTTCACATTCACACGAATCTATGAGAGGCAATAATTCTATCGGTAATAAAACTCTACAGTAACATTTCCCTGTTAGATCTAATTTTATATCAAAGACCTTTTTTTCCCCCTCTCTTTCCTTCCTGCTTCCAAATATCGCTTAGAGAAATAAACACGCATTAAACAGTGAAGCTATGATGACTATGTCTGGCTTTTATAGCCCTACCCATCTCGACCACTAATGGATGCCGTCCATCACGGCGAAGCGGCACGAGCGAGAAGGCGGCAAGCCCCTGACGCGACTTGCCTCACGTGTCACCATGTCCGGAGGAAAATAATAGGGGGAAGAAGAGAAGAGTTGGAGGAAAAAGTGGTAACATTAGCCGTGTGAGAGTGCCCCGGAGCGTCCCGGCCCGTCACTCTGGGTTAAACTCGCTAGCTCCTTCTCCCCACTCGGGAGTTTTTGGCTAGCGGAGATGGACTTATCCTTGTTTTCTCTTTTAAAACATTTTTTATGATAAAATAAGACTCTCTTTGGGGGTTGTCGAGGAGCTATTATTTCTTGAATGCCATTCATCCGCAACCTATTTCCGTCATAGAAAACGAGACTTCCTTGCAACGCATGATAAAAAGAAAATCTCTGTCCAACACGTTTTCATAATTCAAGATGTCCCTTCTCTTCCCCCTCTCTCTGTCTCTGTCTCTGTCTTTCTATCTCTCTCTTCTCCCCCCTCTCTCTCTTACACATTCTTTCTTATATATTTGTCATTACCCTTTCAGCAAAAGGGATAATATTTCAATAGCTTATCCCACACCAATGCATTTTTATCATGTTTACACTATTTTGATCTCGGTTGTAAGATGCTACAGAGTTTTACTTTGGTTTTCACTCATCATTATTCGTCTTCATTCAAATATAATTCATCTTTGTAATTTACACGTATAAGTAAAAACAAAATTATTCTCTTCTTTTGCTGGACCCATGAATAAAAGACCTGATCTTTTTCATAAAATAATGTGTAAATTTAATTTCTGATGTTAGTTTTTGCATTTTTTAGTATTTAATATTTTCTCCTTTTTTTTCTTCTTCAAATTTTGTTCTCATCTTAATTATTTATTCCAGTCATTAATGTGATCCGAGCTTTTTAACCCATCATTGTAAATCTGGAAGCTCAAATCCCTCTTGGATAGACACTTCTCTTTAACATTATCAGTTTTTCTCTTCGTAAAACAATACCCTTATAAAATTATAAAAACAGAGCTCTTCTTTCCCAAAAGCGCTTTCTGCTTTTTTCGTCATAAATATTCCTCGTAAATTCGCTCTCTCTTCCTCTCCCATAATCTCCTCCAGTATTTATCCCTCTCCCGTCTCTATCATGTAAGATAAACGCCCATATTTTTTTCTCGAGTCTTGTGTCAATCTTATTTCCCCCATGGGGAAATAGACGAGACATCTTAGACCCTCTGGTAGACCGAAGGGAGAGTGAGAAAGCACTCCGACCCGGGCTAAACACTATTAATCTCGTGTTTTTGTTTCTGATGCCTACCTCTCTAGAGAAAGGTGTCATTTCCATTGCTTACCATTTCTCTCTCATAGCACGGGCCCCCCTTTATTCGCATGCACAATTCGTCCGTCATATTGCAATTCGATTTTGGTTATTGTTAAGCAGACGCAGAGCGCATGAAGAAATGCAAGATGAAAATGAGGCAGTGTGAACGGTCGTTAAGAAGGGTTATAAATCTCGTCTGCTATGGACGTAGAATTCTCGGCTGGCGCGTGCTAAGTGAGTGTTAATGGAGTAACTATCAGCATCGGAAAAACATTGCATGTCTCGGGCGACTCGCGACGGAAAAGCGAGCCACATTTTCCTTGCGTATATTGACGAAATACCGTATCAGGTGTAGCCGTTAGGAAGCGGGGCCTAAGGGGTACTTCACGCCGTTTAAACGTTCCCAAAACGACTCCACTGCCGAGAGAGAAGAACTTGAGAAAGTGAATGTCCCACAGGGGATTCGGGTGATAATTTCTCAAACAGGATAATGATTTAAGATGAGGATTTCAGGATGGGAATTACTGAGGGAACAACTTGCTGGGATAAGGGGTTGGGTTACATCAAACGGAAGACCGTAAGCTAGAAAGCATGTAAACTGTTTGTGTTGGGTCTCACTTCGTTCTTAAGAGCTTGACATTTGGGCCTGCACTTGATACCCAAGTGACAGGGGAAATACGTCCTCGAAATATCACGGAAAATATTGCCATACTTAAGTGCTTGAACACCAAGGGGAAAATGTTGTGGGAAAGGGAGTCATTGAGCGCAATGAAAACACGGATGCTTATTTTTCTTAAAGATGGTGTAAACAAAAATAAGGAACTGCCATGGCCGATTTTTAAATCAATTT